GTGGTCAAGCATTGGAACAGGCTGCCCAGAGAGGTGGTGGAGTTGCCATCCCTGGAGGTGTTCAAAAAACGTGTAGATGTGGCACTTTGGGACATGGTTTAGTGGGCATGGTGGTGTTGGGTTGATGATTGGACTGATGATTTTAGAGGTCCTTTCCAACCTTAATGATTCTATTCTAGTTTTACTTTCATCAAAAAGTAATCCAGACACCAAGCCAGGAAACATTAAATTAATTATTACTCTTCTCTTAATTGGTTTAGTGATGGACTTGGTAGTGTTAGGTTAATGGTTGGACTTGATAATTGTAAAGGTCTTTTCCAACCTAAACGATTCTATGATTCTATGAAATAAAATATTGTAGCAGCACACATATCTAGGCAAAATTATATTAGGGTCATATAGCACTCTGCATTCATTTAATCTAAAGGTTTGAAAGTCAAGGAATGGGAAAATAAAGTTTTATTTTATGAGGCATAAATTTAAGCTGTCCATCTTCTAGATGACACTGCAACATAACAAACTATTACTGTGCACACAGGAAAGCAACAGAAAGAAACAGAAATCAGGCAATGCAAAGTAATGCTGCCATAAGAATCTCTTTTTTCATTTCTCCAGTTTTCAGCGATTCAGTTAGTAACTTGAATATTTCATTAAATTACAAGTTATTTTTCAGCTTCCTGGCTTTTTTCCTAGAGAAAAGAACAAGCAGGCAGAATCCAAACCTGTTAAAGATCAAAGATGACATGCTACAATACTGACAAGATACAAGATACTTAATTTAAATATTCTAAAGCTGAAGAGACTGCCATGAGTATCAATGAACTTTTTACTTTACAGGACTGGAAACTACTACTTACAAACTACCTGCAGCACGAAATAGAAGACATTTCTGTCCACACTGGAAAGCGTAACACTGCATAAACATCAAATTGTTATCTCTGCTTCCTTTTTCATATCTTTCAATATTTTAGTCTCTCCTCCTTCCAACCTCCAGACATACTGCATAGTAAATTATGTACCATATGGGATGAAGGGACGGTCACTCGGTGGATGCAGTAGAAAATGTTTCTCTCCAGATATCACACAGTACAAGTTCTCATAATGATCTTTATGTACTAGGATTGAGAAAAGATGTGGAGAAAGAGAGAAAATCAGTGTTATTTCCTTCTCTACATCAGAAACTACAGTAAACTGAAAGTGTCAGCTTGTCCTCTTACTGTCAGGCTGCTTCCTCCTCTTGTGGCCACTGGGAGTGGAAAGCAACAATGTAATGTTGCAGCAAAAGTATTCAATGAAGCAAATTGTCGGTGCCTTGCCTGACACAATGTCAGGTAGACAGATGCACCCAGAGACACAGCAGCAAGAAGCTGCAGAAGTGCAGGAGGCAGAATGCAAAAAAACATGTTAAAGTAGAACTGCCTTGTCAGAAAAAACACACAGTCCTACTGAGCCACTAACTCAAAGCAAGCCCACTTAAACCCATGCTGAAAGCACACAGAAGACTTACAGAACCAGATAATACATACAAGATGTCACAGCAGCTGATTCCCCAAGCCAGAAATTGACAGCATCAGGCTTCTTCCCTGTATGGTCAGGGAACAAAGAAATGTTGTCAACAAAAAAAGAATTTGAAGTGTCATGTTTAAAAGCGTTTCAAATAATTTTCTGCCAAATTCTGTCCTTTAACTTCCCTCGCAACTATTATCATAGAATCACAGAATGCTTTGGGTTGGAAAGGACCTTGAGAGATCATCTAGCCCAACCCCCCTGCAGTGAGCAGGGATTGAACCCTGGTGTATAACCGGTTTCATTGCAAATAGCACTCTGTGAGCAACAGCAACCTCCTACACTGGAAGGCACTGCAGTGCCCGCCCGTCAGGCTTCATGACATAGTATCGATGGTTACAACCCCAAATTGATGGTTACAACCCTTTGTTTCCACAGTCTGAATCCCTAAGACTTAGCTCAGAGAGAAATTGCAGTACGCATATGCACAGTTGCAAAAAGAAGGTGAGATCACAGTAAATCATTTTCATTGACATTTTAAGGAAAGACATGCTGTAAAATAGAAACCAACTGAAACAGAACAGCGTGTAACTGGAAACAAACACCTGTAATTTTACCAAAGGGGGCGAGGGCTGTGTGTTGTTTCACTCATTTGTTATGCTAGCTTTGGTAGCAACAGCATGACTCTAGAACAGAGAAAAGCCACTGTATGAAAAGAAGTGCTATATGGCACTAGCACCACATTGTTTCAGTTGTGATGGTCCCAACACACAACAGAGATGCTGATTCTGGAGTAACCCAAACCCAAAACTTGGATTACTCTATTAAGTATTTTACCAATTCTACTTTCTAAGGGGATGAAACCAAACTGAGCTGTGGCATCCAGAAACAGAACAAACATTCACCATGTACCTAGCATGACTGTTTTAAAGCTCCATACAAAATATTTACTGAATATAGGAGAAATAGAAGGTTTACCAAGTGCCTCACTCATCCATGGTATGTCAGGCTGCACATCACGGACAAGTTCAGGGAACTCCTCGGTGAGGTTTGAACACTGCTTCTGCACATAGAATACGTTGGGAGAGATCACTTTCTTCTCCACAATGTCCAAAAAGTCCATGAAAGGCATTTGGCGCTCCTCTGGCATGACAAAACGGTCTTGAAACACCGCATCTGCATAACCATTTGGTGTTACTGCCACACTCACTACCTTGGGACCTACTACCTCCCTGCAAAATAAATCAAAGATTTATAGCCAGAACTGCAATTGGCCCATATATTGGACACTGGTTACTTTAAAAAGAACATGTTTCATGGCCAGCAAAAATAAGAAGCCTGGCTTTCCATGGATGGGTGTCTCTAGACTAGATTTTCTACTGTCTGGTAAGGACTCTGCCACTCTGCCCCGATTGCTCCCTGTGGTCAAGGCAACCGTAGTATTTTTCACCTCTCTAAATTCTCTTGTGTCTAACAGGTGAGTTCACAAAGGAGCTCCCTTTTTCTCCGTGCAGGCAGAGGGCCCTCTTCAGCCACTTCTCTTCATGAATCATGGTGGAACTTGACATTCTTGGGACCACTCAACCCAGCCAAATCTGGGTGGCCATGCGTTCTAAAGCAATCGAGGCGGAAGAAAGGGTGGACAGAGACTGACAGACACACACATTGTGAGGATAACAGCCCTTATTTCTGTGAGAAGTTTAATTTTAAACCCATAGATTTCAGGTCTAACCAGAAATCCCCTCTCAAAAAAGAACTTTAAAAAAAAAAATCATTGTTAAAACAGTTAGCATTTTGGGTTTTTTTTTAAAAAAACAAGGTGTACTCAGTCACAAACAAGTCAGTCTGTTCTTACAGCACTACAGCCCCACTCCAGCTGGGAGGCTACAGAGCGGAGTACTGGCCAGAGCACAGCTATTGGACCGGGTTTCGATGGCCTGAATCTGTTGGCTGCACACAGTCAAAACACCCACCCTCCATACTGCATCGGAACTGGTCAGGACAGTATGTCTGCAGGAAGAAATTTACACGTGAGTTTGGCAAGACTGAACACCTTCCTACAGAAGCAAGGAGGAATCTGAGCTAATCTTAGGGATAAAAACAAAGATTAACAAAGGGCCTTTTACTGAGGTCAACCGCAATTGACCACCACTCCTGCTCCAAAGCTTGTTCATACCTGAGGTACGCTGAGGTCCATTTCTTCAGAGCCGGCCAGTGGCTGATGGCGTTCTGAATTATACAAGGTTTATTCGGACTCACCCATTCTCGATAAAACTCCAGCGGGGACGGAGGCCTATCTAGATAGGGTACGGACTCTGACAACCCCAGCTCTGTCCAGGCAAACGAGAAACAGTTTTACTCAGCGTCCTGAGAGACGTGCTCTCTGCTAGCACACTAACTGGCTTCAAACTCCACACCACAGGCACTCAACTGAAAGCAAGCCGTGTCCCCCCCAGCTCCAGGAATCTCTCTGTCAAAACCCAGAGGCTGTTAGGGTTTCCGTGCCAGATGGGATACCTCAGGCTGTCACCCTGCTACTCTCTTGCTGTCAGCCACAGCTCATCCTACGCGTGGCTGTGCCGCGGGCCCACAGGAGAGCGCATGTGAAGGACATCCATCACAGGAGATGCACCTCCAATACACAGATGATACCACGGGAAGATTTTTGGAAGCTGGAATAGTGCTTTGTTGTGCTATTTTACACATAGGAAAACAACCTAAAAGGGCCATTTTCTCGAGTTATGTTTTCTTTTTGCAGCGGCCTTTCTACTGCTTCTTCATAGAATCATAGAATTGTTTAGGTTGGAAAAGACCTTTAAGATCATCCAGTCCAACAATTAACCTACACTACCAAGTGTACTCAAAGCCAGTCAAGGGTAGACTAGACTAAACCATGTCCCAAAGTGCCACATCTACACATTTTTTTAAACACTTCCAGGGTTGGTGACTCCACCACCTCTCTGGGCAGCCTGTTCCAATGCTTGACCACCCTTTCCGTAAAGAAATTTTTCCTAATTTCCAACCTAAACCTCCCCTGGCACAGCTTAAGCCCATTTCCTCTCGTCCTATCACTAACTACATGGGAGAAGAGACCAACACCCACCTCACTACAACCTCCTTTCAGGTAGTTGTAGAGAGCGATAAGGTCTCCCCTCAGCCTCCTCTTCTGCAGACTAAACACCCCCAGTTCCCTCAGCCGCTCCTCATAAGGCCTGTGCTCCAGACCCTTCACCAGCTTCATTGCCCTTTTCTGGACACGCTCCAGCACCTCAATGTCTTTCTTGTATTGAGGGGCCCCAAACTGGACACATTTACTTTCATTTACTTGGCTGGAAACCGAGTAGGAGCGTAGGTGCCCCAGTTCAACCCAGCACCATTTGCGGCTGCTGCGGCCCAGCCGGGGCGCCGAAGCGGCCGAAGACCGAGTTTATGTCCCCAGAGGGCGGGCCGGGGCCCCCGCGCAGCGCCGGG